ACACACACACACACACACACACACACACACACACACACACACACACACACACACACACAGCCCTAACACGCTAACACAGTTCTGAGCTGTTATGTTCAGTCATCGTTCTTATGTTGAACGTGAATACTTCACACTTTGCTTTGTCAGTAATTATGGGATGTATTTCTTCTTTCATAGCAATTCTCCTTCATACTTTCTTGCCGTGAAATAAGTCTTAAATTCTATTCAAAGTGGTCTTTAAAAGGTCTTAAAAGGTCTTAAAAGGGTCTTAAAAAGGTCTTAAAAAGGTCTTAAAAGGTCTTAAAAAGGTCTTAAAAGGTCTTAAATTTGAGTTGGTGAAACCTGCAGGAACCCTGTTTAAACTATGTTTCCATGTTCGATGTATTTACATAAGACCCCGTGCCCCCCCCCCCCACTAACATCATTATCTATAGCTTTTTTATTTTCAATCTATCAGCTGATCTATCTGTTCGATTTTCATGTTTTATTTAATGTATAGAACATTTAATTTATTTGAATGTCTGTGTTAACCTCATGAACTGATGTTTAATATTAACCTCTAATATTATGTTAATATATTTTCAGCCCCCCCGGTTCCTGCCCAGCCGTCGGCAGCGTCACTGAGGGGCGGGGCCAGAGAAGCCCCGCCCCCTCCCCCCTACAGGACTCATGGTAGCCCCTCCCCCTCCTGCAACCCCCCCTCCAGAGCGAAGCCCCCCCCGCCCCCCCCCTCCTCTCCGCAACGGCACCTCCTCCTCCCCCTCCGTCCCCCGCTCTTTCGTGGGTGAGTGTCCAATCAGAGCTCAGTCTGAAGAGCATGACATCATCATATAAAGAAATCAGCCAAATAAACACATTCATTATAAAGTTTAGAATCCTGAAAGAGAGCAATTCTTCTTTAATGTATAAACGTCTGCTCCACGTCTCCCCGTCCTCTGACTGATTGATTGATTGATTGAAAAGTGTATTAACAGCTTGTATATTGGGTACAGTACAGTACAGCTCAAAACATATCATATAAGACATATTTTACATACAGATGGCTTATTTACAATTTACATTTTAGATTTCGTTCTAATACATCCTAACCGGACATTTAAGACATACCAAGTCTACAGATATACAGTTAGTAACAGAGTCTAAAATGCGAGTATATGACCTCTCCTTCATGTGGCTCTCACCTCAGTGTGTTGTTGTTGTTGTTGTTGTTGTTGTTGTTGTTGTTGTAAAGAAACCGTAAATTAGACTGCTGTGTGTCTCTCCTCCTGCAGATGACTTTGAGTCCAAGTATTCGTTTCATCCTCTGGACGACTTCCCTCCTCCGGAAGAGTACCGACACTTCGCCAAGATCTACCCCAGCAAGGCCAACAGAGGTACACACACACACACGCACACACACACACACACGCACGCACGCACGCACGCACGCACGCACGCACGCACGCACGCACGCACGCACGTGACTTTGGGTGAGTCACCTGTGATGCAGCCTCTCTCAATGCACGTGACTTTGGGTGAGTCACCTGTGATGCAGCCTCTCTCAATGCACGTGACTTTGGGTGAGTCACCTGTGATGCAGCCTCTCTCAATGCACGTGCCTTTGGCTGAGTCACCTGTGATGCAGCCTCTCTCAATGCACGTGACTTTGGCTGAGTCACCTGTGATGCAGCCTCTCTCAATGCACGTGACTTTGGGTGAGTCACCTGTGATGCAGCCTCTCTCAATGCACGTGACTTTGGGTGAGTCACCTGTGATGCAGCCTCTCTCAATGCACGTGACTTTGGCTGAGTCACCTGTGATGCAGCCTCTCTCAATGCACGTGACTTTGGGTGAGTCACCTGTGATGCAGCCTCTCTCAATGCACGTGACTTTGGGTGAGTCACCTGTGATGCAGCCTCTCTCAATGCACGTGACTTTGGCTGAGTCACCTGTGATGCAGCCTCTCTCAATGCACGTGCCTTTGGCTGAGTCACCTGTGATGCAGCCTCTCTCAATGCACGTGACTTTGGGTGAGTCACCTGTGATGCAGCCTCTCTCAATGCACGTGCCTTTGGCTGAGTCACCTGTGATGCAGCCTCTCTCAATGCACGTGACTTTGGCTGAGTCACCTGTGATGCAGCCTCTCTCAATGCACGTGACTTTGGGTGAGTCACCTGTGATGCAGCCTCTCTCAATGCACGTGACTTTGGGTGAGTCACCTGTGATGCAGCCTCTCTCAATGCACGTGACTTTGGGTGAGTCACCTGTGATGCAGCCTCTCTCAATGCACAACATTTCATGCAAATCAGAGCAACTTCAATTTTGGAGCAGTTTGTCCAAAAACCAAAGGTTGTCCAATCATCTCCAAAATGCAGCCACTCAATCGTTGGGTTGGATGCTTGAAACAGTCCAGATACACATTTCACATTTCAAATACCTGGATTGGTGCAGTTATGTTTTTGAAGTCAAGTCAAAAGTCACAAAACTGAAAAACACTGATTCCAAATTCTGAGCAAAAAGTCGATTTTAATGAACTCTCTTTGTGTTTACAGTGATGAGAGGAGCACCTCCACTGCCGCCTGTCGGGAGGTGAACCCTGAAGACCACTACCACACACACACACACACACACACACACACACACACACACACACACACTCACACAGACACACACAGACACACACACATACACACACACACACACATACACACACACACACATACACACACACACACATACACACACACACACATACACACACACACACACACCACACACACACACTCACTCACCCAGACACACACACACACCATACACAACCACACACCACCACACCACACATACACACACATACGCATACCACACATACACCACACACACCCACACCTCCACACACCCACACACTACACACACCCACACACTACACACCCTCACACACTACACCACATACACACACACACACATACACACACACCACATACACACACACACACACACTCACACACTCACACACATGCATACACACACATACACACACACACACTCATACACATACACACACACTCATCGTGTTTGCTGACCATCTGCAGCGTCCAGCAGCGACGCCTCATCTGCGCTCACAGCTGATTGGCTGAGGAGAGGTCTGGTCATGTGACAGTATGACTTCCTCCTCTGGACATGAACTCCTTTAGTTGAATTTTTTACATTTTGCACGTGCACTTTTAGTTTATGGACACGTGAAGGAGAGAGAGAACACGTGAAGGAGAGAGAGAACACGTGAAGGAGAGAACACGTGAAGGAGAGAGAGAACACGTGAAGGAGAGAGAGAACACGTGAAGGAGAGAGAGAACACGTGAAGGAGAGAACACGTGACGGAGAGAACGGACACGTGAAGGAGAGAACACGTGACGGAGAGAACACGTGACGGAGAGAACGGACACGTGAAGGAGAGAACACGTGACGGAGAGAACACGTGACGGAGAGAACGGACACGTGAAGGAGAGAACACGTGAAGGAGAGAACACGCGAAGGAGAGAACACGCGACGGAGAGAACACACGAAGGAGAGAACACGTGACGGAGAGAACACGTGAAGGAGAGAACACGTGAAGGAGAGAACACGTGACGGAAAGAACACGTGACGGAGAGAACACGTGAATCAGAGAACGGACACGTGAAGGAGAGAACACGTGACGGAGAGAACACGTGACGGAGAAAACACGTGACAGAGAGAACGGACACGTGAAGGAGAGAACACGTGAAGGAGAGAACACGCGAAGGAGAGAACACGCGACGGAGAGAACACGCGAAGGAGAGAACACGTGACGGAGAGAACACGTGAAGGAGAGAACACGTGAAGGAGAGAACACGTGACGGAAAGAACACGTGACGGAGAGAACACGTGAATCAGAGAACGGACACGTGAAGGAGAGAACACGTGACGGAGAGAACACGTGACGGAGAAAACATGTGACGGAGAGAACACGTGACGGAAAGAACACGTGACGGAGAGAACACGTGACGGAGAGAACACGTGACGGAAAGAACACGTGACGGAGAGAACACGTGACGGAGAGAACACGTGAAGGAGAGAACACGTGACGGAGAGAACACGTGACGGAGAGAACACGTGAAGGAGAGAACACGTGACGGAGAGAACACGTGACAGAGAGAACGGACACGTGAAGGAGAGAACACGTGAAGGAGAGAACACGTGAAGGAGAGAACACGTGACGGAGAGAACACATGACGGAGAGAACGGACACGTGAAGGAGAGAACACGTGACGGAGAGAACACGTGACGGAGAGAACACGTGACGGAGAGAACGGACACGTGAAGGAGAGAACACGTGACAGAGAGAACACGTGAAGGAGAGAACACGTGACGGAGAGAACACGTGACAGAGAGAACGGACACGTGAAGGAGAGAACACGTGAAGGAGAGAACACATGACGGAGAGAACACGTGACGGAGAGAACACGTGACGGAGAGAACACGTGACGGAGAGAACACGTGACGGAGAGAACACGTGACGAAGAGAACGGACACGTGAAGGAGAGAACACGTGAAGGAGAGAACACGTGGCGGAGAGAACACGTGACGGAGAGAACACGTGAAGGAGAGAACACGTGACGAAGAGAACGGACACGTGAAGGAGAGAACACGTGAAGGAGAGAACACGTGACGGAGAGAACACGTGACGGAGAGAACACGTGACGAAGAGAACGGACACGTGAAGGAGAGAACACGTGAAGGAGAGAACACGTGGCGGAGAGAACACGTGACGGAGAGAACACGTGAAGGAGAGAACACGTGACGGAAAGAACACGTGACGGAGAGAACACGTGACGGAGAGAACACGTGATGGAGAGAACGGACACGTGAAGGAGAGAACACGTGAAGGAGAGAACACGTGACGGAGAGAACACGTGAAGGAGAGAACACGTGAAGGAGAGAACACATGACGGAGAGAACACGTGACGGAAAGAACACGTGACGGAGAGAACGGACACGAGACGGAGAGAACACGTGACGGAAAGAACACGTGACGGAGAGAACGGACACGAGACGGAGAGAACACGTGACGGAAAGAACACGTGACGGAGAGAACGGACACGAGACGGAGAGAACACGTGGAGGAGAGAACACGTGACGGAAAGAACACGTGACGGAGAGAACACGTGACGGAGAGAACACGTGACGGAGAGAACGGACACGAGACGGAGAGAACACGTGGAGGAGAGAACACGTGACGGAGAGAACGGACACGAGACGGAGAGAACACGTGAAGGAGAGAACACGTGACGGAGAGAACGGACACGAGACGGAGAGAACACGTGGAGGAGAGAACACGTGACGGAGAGAACGGACACGAGACGGAGAGAACACGTGGAGGAGAGAACACGTGACGGAAAGAACACGTGACGGAGAGAACACGTGACGGAGAGAACACGTGACGGAGAGAACGGACACGAGACGGAGAGAACACGTGGAGGAGAGAACACGTGACGGAGAGAACGGACACGAGACGGAGAGAACACGTGACGGAGAGAACACGTGGAGGAGAGAACACGTGGAGGAGAGAACACGTGACGGAGAGAACGGACACGAGACGGAGAGAACACGTGGAGGAGAGAACACGTGGAGGAGAGAACACGTGGAGGAGAGAACACGTGACGGAGAGAACGGACACGAGACGGAGAGAACACGTGGAGGAGAGAACACGTGGAGGAGAGAACACGTGACGGAGAGAACACGTGGACCATGAACTCTCACCTGTGAACTCTCACCTGTGAACTCTCACCTGTGAACTCTCACCTGTGAACTCTCACCTGCTGTCAGGGTGACGTGCTTCATTGTGGCCAACGTGAACAAAACAAACGCACCTGAACTCACCTGCAGGTGGTAGTTCCTCCTGCAGCAAGGACTCTGCATTCCTCCCTCACTCATCTCCTTCCCTCCTCCCTCCTCTCCTTCCCTCCTCTGTCCTTGTTGCATGTCTTCTTTATCTCCGCTTTACTCTCAGTGTTAAATCACTTCTCAGGAGATGTTGTTCTCAGAAGTCAAAACTCAAATATAACCAGAAGCAGTGAATGATGGATCGATGGTCGTGAGTTCAATGTCCCGATAACTGAAGTGGAAATATTAGATCATATTATATAAAGTTTACTCAATAAAACAGCGACAGTATTTTAATGAAGGTCAAAAATGATCCTAAAAATATTCTGAGTTTTAGGGAATAATAAGATTCTTATTAAGATTCTTATTAAATGACATCTTTATTTATTGGTCGTCCGATAAGAAGTCGTCTTTAATATCTGTCTTTATTCTCTGGACTTTAACTCACGACTGTGTTCACGTTAAACAGATGATTCTCTGCTTTAAAACGTCTGAGTGACTCCACCAGGTCTCACCAGGTCACACCAGGTCTCACCAGGTCTCACCAGGTCACACCAGGTCTCACCAGGTCTCACCAGGTCACACCAGGTCTCACCAGGTCTCACCAGGTCTCACCAGGTCTCACCAGGTCACACCAGGTCTCACCAGGTCTCACCAGGTCTCACCAGGTCTCACCAGGTCACACCAGGTCTCACCAGGTCTCACCAGGTCTCACCAGGTCACACCAGGTCTCACCAGGTCTCACCAGGTCTCACCAGGTCACACCAGGTCTCACCAGGTCTCACCAGGTCACACCAGGTGTCACCAGGTCTCACCAGGTCACACCAGGTGTCACCAGGTCACACCAGGTCTCACCAGGTCACACCAGGTGTCACCAGGTCCCACCAGGTCCCACCAGGTCTCACCAGGTCTCACCAGGTCTCACCAGGTCCCAGGTCTCACCAGGTCACACCAGGTCTCACCAGGTCACACCAGGTGTCACCAGGTCCCACCAGGTCTCACCAGGTCTCACCAGGTCTCACCAGGTCTCACCAGGTCTCACCAGGTCACACCAGGTCTCACCAGGTCACACCAGGTCTCACCAGGTCTCACCAGGTCTCACCAGGTCTCACCAGGTCTCACCAGGTCTCACCAGGTCACACCAGGTCTCACCAGGTCTCACCAGGTCACACCAGGTGTCACCAGGTCTCACCAGGTCACACCAGGTGTCACCAGGTCACACCAGGTCTCACCAGGTCACACCAGGTGTCACCAGGTCTCACCAGGTCCCAGGTCTCACCAGGTCCCACCAGGTCTCACCAGGTCTCACCAGGTCTCACCAGGTCTCACCAGGTCCCAGGTCTCACCAGGTCACACCAGGTCTCACCAGGTCACACCAGGTGTCACCAGGTCCCACCAGGTCTCACCAGGTCTCACCAGGTGTCACCAGGTCACACCAGGTCCCACCAGGTCTCACCAGGTCTCACCAGGTCTCACCAGGTCTCACCAGGTCACACCAGGTCTCACCAGGTCACACCAGGTCTCACCAGGTCACACCAGGTCTCACCAGGTCTCACCAGGTCACACCAGGTGTCACCATGTGTCACCAGGTCACACCAGGTCTCACCAGGTCACACCAGGTCTCACCAGGTCTCACCAGGTCTCCCCAGGTGTCACCAGGTCTCACCAGGTCTCACCAGGTCTCACCAGGTCTCCCCAGGTCTCATGTCTAAATGTTTAAATCTGTTCTGTTTGACTGATAAACAGCTTCCAGTATTTCACGTGTGTTTGTTCTTGAACCTCTTTGTGTGGCAGGTCAACAGGAACCACCTGAACTGTCAGTGTGGGGGTGAAGGGGTTAAAACCACGTCTCAATGAGTGAAATAGAAACAAAACGTGTTGAGATTTAGATTATTTTAATACGAAACTTCTTGAAAAACTGATGATTGTTTTCTATGTTTCCCTCTGTCCCTATGTTTCCCTAATTTCTCTCACTGAGTCTTTACTTTTTAAATAATGACTTAGTGGTGATGCTTAGACACCAGAATACAGTCGTTACAGGTAGAGTCACACCTGGGTTAATGATCATTATGGGATATAATCTGTCCAGGTGTTTCAGATCATTATGGGATATAATAGTCCAGGTGTTTCAGATCATTATGGGATATAATAGTCCAGGTGTTTCAGATCATTATGGGATATAATGGGGGAGTGGAGTGGAGCGGGGTGGGGCGGAGTGGAGCGGGGCGGAGGGGGAGTGGAGCGGAGCGGAGTGGGGCGGAGTGGAGCGGAGCGGGGCGGAGCGGGGCGGAGCGGAGCGGGGTGGAGGGGGAGTGGAGTGGAGCGGAGTGGAGCGGGGTGGAGGGGGAGTGGAGTGGGGCGGAGTGGGGGGGAGTGGAGCGGGGTGGAGGGGGAGTGGAGTGGAGCGGAGTGGGGCGGAGTGGGGCGGAGGGGGAGTGGAGCGGGGTGGAGGGGGAGTGGAGTGGAGCGGAGTGGAGCGGAGTGGGGCGGAGGGGGAGTGGAGCGGGGTGGAGGGGGAGTGGAGTGGAGCGGAGTGGAGCGGGGTGGAGGGGGAGTGGAGTGGGGCGGAGTGGGGCGGAGGGGGGCGGAGGGGGAGTGGAGCGGGGTGGAGGGGGAGTGGGAGCGGGGAGGGGGAGTGGAGCGGGGCGGAGGGGAGTGGAGTGGAGCGGGGTGGAGGGGGAGTGGAGTGGAGCGGGGTGGAGCGGGGGTGGAGGGGGAGTGGAGTGGAGCGGAGTGGAGCGGAGTGGGCGGAAGTGGGGCGGAGTGGAGCGGGGTGGAGGGGGAGTGGAGTAGAGCGGAGTGGAGCGGGGTGGAGGGGGAGTGGAGTGGGGCGGAGGGGGAGTGGAGCGGGGTGGAGGGGGAGTGGAGCGGAGGGGGAGTGGAGCGGGGCGGAGTGGAGTGGAGGGGGAGTGGAGCGGGGCGGAGGGGGAGTGGAGTGGAGCGGGGCGGAGGGGGAGTGGAGTGGAGCGGGGTGGAGCGGGGTGGAGGGGGAGTGGAGCGGAGTGGGGCGGAGTGGGGCGGAGGGGGGTGGAGCGGGGTGGAGGGGGAGTGGAGCGGAGGGGGAGTGGAGCGGGGCGGGAGGGGGAGTGGAGTGGAGCGGGGTGGAGGGGGAGTGGAGTGGAGCGGGGTGGAGGGGGAGTGGAGCGGGGTGGAGGGGGAGCGGAGTGGAGCGGGGTGGAGCGGGGTGGAGCGGGGTGGAGGGGGAGCGGAGTGGAGCGGGGTGGAGGGGGAGTGGAGCGGGGTGGAGGGGGAGTGGAGCGGGGTGGAGGGGGAGTGGAGCGGGGGTGGAGGGGGAGTGGGCTATCAAGCCCTCAAACAGCGAGTCTGCAGCGGTGCTGACTGGAGACGGGTCTCTACCTGACCGGAGTCACGCTGTGTGTCCGTCAGGAAACACGCTGTTTACAAACAGTTCCAGCAAACATCCAGTGATAAACTGCGATGTTAACAACCTCATGATAACCTCATGTTTTTAAAGGGGACCTATCATGCAAAATGCACTTGTGTACGTCTTTTCTACATGAATATGTGTCCCCGGTGTTCCAGGGAACTCACCAAGTGTCAGAAAACACAACCCTCTCTATTTTCCTCCATACCCAAATCTCTAAAAAAGGGGCTGCAACGGATCTGATAAAAACTGATCCAGATTTGAACACTGTCCTGACGTCAGGACGGTGGCGCTACGGCTATTGGGCCAACTCCACCAATCAGTAGGAGACAGCCACGGCCATTGCCGTTTGAAAGCGCTGGAGACGCTGTAGTACATATGCCAGGCCTGTAGATGGTGCTGTTCTCACTGAATCAGCCCTTGCAAAAACAGAGCTAAAAAAAAGTGCAAATTGAGCAAAATGAGGCATGGCTAAAATGCATGATCTGTTTGGTATTTTGAAAACAGAAAAGTATAAATATGCCTTATATAGGTATGGTCCTACACTATATTATTCAAATATAGCATGATAGGTCCACTTTAACTTAGGATCATACCTGTGTTTAGTCTAGAAAAAGGTAAATTTGTGCATTTTATTATAAAGTTGTGTATATTTACAGACTGTTGCAAAAACTAAGAAGCTTATAAACATCAGGTTTCAAACTAAAAGAGCTTTACAAAAAAGTAACACAATTAAAGATGTTGGGAGTTTTATTTGAGTTATTAATTTACATTTTTTGTCAAAGAGATGCTGATTTGAAACCGTTGTTACATACAGTTACGGCATTTCCTGTTTCTGAGGAGAGAGGGGAGTTTGTCCCAAAGCTTTACTCCCTCCATCTGACAGGAGGAGCCTCGTTCAACTGAGAGTGTGGCTACACGACACCGAGTCGGACCTCTGACGTTACACGGAAGAAGGAGGAGGGATCAATAACACATTATTCACTATGAAAATCATGAAACAGGCACATGTGAATACTGTGGTCATTATGAAACAGTGGAGCACATCTTTCTGCTATGTCGCAAATACCATCCATTACTGAAGGAAGCACTGAAGAGAAACAGACATAGTGGAGATTAGAGAAGGGGTTCAGAGCAGAGTTTAGACATCGTGCTGCTGATCCACACTCCGTCCAGAAGGTGGCGGTGAATGCACCTCAAGGCTGTTTGCCAACTGTCATACCACAATAGAAGGAGAAAATTAAGAGCACCACCAGGGGGCAGGCTTTCATTTCCCCGGTGCAGAGTGACCCGGAAACACGTGAAGAAAACACTACGGTCCACATGTGGAGCTACCGAGGAGCTGAGGAACACAGAAGTCACTTTATATCAAGAGGACTTTAATCAAGAGGACTATAATTAAGAAGACCTTAATTAAGAGGACGTTAATTAAGAGGACTTGAACCAAGAGGACGTGAAAGCAGCAGGTCAGTACCCTCTCTCTGCTCAGTAACACATGTAAATACAGCAGCTGGGGTTGGAGCTAAAGATCCATTAAAAGCATTACATCCACTGTAACGATAAGTCATGCCGGGATTTAAGCAGCCACCCAGGCAGGCAGGCACCCACTCACCCAGCCAGGCAGGCACCCACTCACCCACCCAGGCAGGCAGGCACTCACTCACCCAGCCAGGCAGGCACCCACTCACCCACCCAGGCAGGCAGGCACCCACTCACCCACCCAGGCAGGCAGGCACTCACTCACCCAGCCAGGCAGGCACTCACTCACCCACCCAGGCAGGCAGGCACCCCCCCACCCAGGCAGGCACTCACTCACCCAGCCAGGCAGGCAGGCACCCCCCCACCCAGGCAGGCACTCACTCACCCAGCCAGGCAGGCAGGCAGCAGGACACTACCAGCTTCTCCTGGGGGTGTTGATGGATGTCTCGTCACTATGTTACACTACCAGCTTCTCCTGGGGGTGTTGGTGGATGTCTCGTCACTATGTTACACTACCAGCTTCTCCTGGGGGTGTTGGTGGATGTCTCGTCACATGTTACACTACCAGCTTCTCTGGGGGTGTTGGTGGATGTATCGTCACTATGTTACACTACCAGCTTCTCCTGGGGTGTTGATGGATGTCTCGTCACTATGTTACACTACCAGCTTCTCCTGGGGGTGTTGATGGATGTCTCGTCACTATGTTACACTACCAGCTTCTCCTGGGGGTGTTGGTGGATGTCTCGTCACTATGTTACACTACCAGCTTCTCCTGGGGGTGTTGATGGATGTCTCGTCACTATGTTACACTACCAGCTTCTCCTGGGGGTGTTGATGGATGTCTCGTCACTATGTTACACTACCAGCTTCTCCTGGGGGTGTTGGTGGATGTCTCGTCACTATGTTACACTACCAGACTTCTCCTGGGGGTGTTGGTGGATTGTCTCGTCACTATGTTACACTACCAGCTTCTCCTGGGGGTGTTGATGGATGTCTCGTCACTATGTTACACTACCAGCTTCTCCTGGGGGGTGTTGGTGGATGTCTCGTCACTATGTTACACTAACCAGCTTCTCCTGGGGGTGTTGATGGATGTCTCGTCACGATGTTCAGCCTCGCTCCCCCCAGTGAAAGCCCTGTAGTTATAGAGTTAAATCAATCTGGTGCACTTTGAGGCAAAATAAAGAGACTAGATCTGTGGGAACACTCATGTGAAACAGAGCTGTGTACTTTTCAATAATCATACCATCATAAGAATATGGCCATAATCAATAACCAATAACATACTATAATCAATAACATACAACCTATAACATACTATAACCAATAACATACTAAAATCACAATAACATACTATAATCAATAACATACTATAATCAATAACATACTATAATCAATAACATACTATAATCAATAACCAATAACATACCATTGAAACTTGTTGATGTCTGCCCCATGTACACCAAGCAGACCCTCATTAACCTGGCTCTGGTTCTCATTAACCCTGGTTCTGGTTAACCTGGTTCTCATTAACCTGGCTCTGGTTAACCTGGTTCTGGTTCTCATTAACCTGGTTCTGGTTCTCATTAACCCTGGTTCTGGTTAACCTGGTTCTGGTTCTCATTAACCTGGTTCTGGTTCTCATTAACCTGGTTCTGGTTCTCATTAACCCTGGTTCTGGTTAACCTGGTTCTGGTTCTGGTTAACCTGGTTCTGGTTCTCATTAACCTGGTTCTGGTTCTCATTAACCTGGTTCTGGTTCTCATTAACCTGGTTCTGGTTCTCATTAACCCTGGTTCTGGTTCTGTTAGCAGTTCTTCTCATCATGGAGGAAGTGATGCCGGAGCCCCTCCCCTTGATGTCGGAGCCCCTCCCCCTGATGCCGGAGCCCCTCCCCTTGATGTCAGAGCCCCTCCCCCTGATGCCGGACCCCCTCCCCCTGACGCAGAAGCCCGGCCCCCTGAAGAGGAAGCAGCCCCGCCCCCCGAAGAGGAAGCAGCCCCCCCCCCCGCTGGCCCCTGACCCCGAGGAGGAGGGTCAGCGCCGGGTCAGGAACCAGAACCTTGTGGCGGTTCTGGGAGAGGAGGACGAGTCCGTGAGGCTGCTGGAGGACCTGCTGTTCGGGGGGGAGGAGCAGCTGCTGGACCATCTCCTGCAGGTAACTCACCTGTACTGAGGGGTTAATGGGGTCTCAGGTAACTCACCTGTACTGAGGGGTTAATGGGGTCTCAGGTAACTCACCTGTACTGAGGGGTTAATGGGGTCTCAGGTAACTCACCTGTACTGAGGGGTTAATGGGGTCTGCAGGTAACTCACCTGTACTGAGGGGTTAATGGGGTCTCAGGTAACTGACCTGTACTGAGGGGTTAATGGGGTCTCAGGTAACTCACCTGTACTGAGGGGTTAATGGGGTCTCAGGTAACTCACCTGTACTGAAGGGTTAATGGGGTCTGCAGGTAACTCACCTGTACTGAGGGGTTAATGGGGTCTCAGGTAACTCACCTGTACTGAGGGGTTAATGGGGTCTGCAGGTAACTCACCTGTACTGAGGGGTTAATGGGGTCTCAGGTAACTCACCTGTACTGAGGGGTTAATGGGGTCTGCAGGTAACTCACCTGTACTGAGGGGTTAATGGGGTCTGCAGGTAACTGACCTGTACTGAGGGGTTAATGGGGTCTGCAGGTAACTGACCTGTACTGAGGGGTTAATGGGGTCTGCAGGTAACTCACCTGTACTGAGGGGTTAATGGGGTCTGCAGGTAACTCACCTGTACTGAGGGGTTAATGGGGTCTGCAGGTAACTCACCTGTACTGAGGGGTTAATGGGGTCTCAGGTA